CAAGGTTTCCTTGATGAAAATTAATATAAATTTCCGAAATCTTACCAGACAGAGTCAGTGGCAGCGGTAATGGTGAGACTTGATCATAAAATGTGTCAAAAATGAAACGAATATACATTTAAAAGCCATGACAGATCATGAAACTGTCACAGAACTTGCAAATATTTGGGGCCTATATTGTAAAAATTACATCTATTACTGCTATTTGACATCAATTATATTTGACAGCACTAATTCAGTGCAGTCTTGTTTCCTGTTCTTCCCGGGCCCTGCAAATGAGGTTAACTCTTCCTCCTGAGCAGACACTTAGTTTCCTGTGTTTCTATTTTCCTAACACTTTATTACAGTTGATTATAATTAATTTAACTACATGAAATTCTCCAAGAGCATAAAAGGTATGTGTCTAGCTTACTCAGTATAGTGATTTGAATTAACATATGAAGGTTATTAGTGTCTAACTAACTGGGATAGCCTAAAATATTAGGCTACAAGGTTGGACAAAAACATCTTCAGGTCTCACTTTTATGGAACTATAGAGAGACTTTTGCCTCCTCTTGCAGTAATAAGCATCCTATCAGATGCCAATAATAAAAAATATTGCAGAACAAAATAGGATCCCTGCCTTTGGTCTCACATTTGCTTTTCCACACCCACAACCTCTTTTTTTCCTCCCTCTGGTTCTCACAGTCTATAAAGTCATAGAAGATACCAGATGTTTGGAGGAGCCTGTCCCACATGTCCTAGATTTTTAAACTAGAAGCAAGATTTATTATAGCTACATAAATGTAATTTCAGCCTTAACAAGGCCCCTTGTCAAATAGAACAATTCTTATCCACAGAGGGTTAGCATCAGGACCAAACACTCGAAATAACCACAGGATATTAATGAAACAAGAAATTTTGCCCACAAACTGTTTCCCTCTAGGAAACTTTAATTCACATGAATTTTTCAAGACAACCCCTTTGCATTCAGGCAACATTCTAAAGTGAGGCTGAAATGAGTTGTGCATGGATTTATAGCAACCCCCGGGCTAAGTGCCTAAGCGGAGACGGGCAATGCCTCTAATTACAATCTTGTCCTACTGCGTAGGTTCTGAAAGAACAGGCGGCTAGAAGCCACTCTCGTGTTCCTTCCTCGCGTAGGGGGGCTGCGCAGCACGCCCGCTTGTTTAGGTGCAGAAGTCCAAGTGCAAGTGGAAGCCGGGCTGTGCTTTTGCTGGGGAACCCCATGTTCTCCCCAAGAGCCGCTGGGCGTTCCGGCGGAGGTGAACGGAGACTTTTCAGCTACTCTGAAATGGGTCCACACCGTCCTCAAAGCTATCAGCAACTTTTGTTTTTGAAGGCACCTTACCTAAGAGGTGAAGAGTTATTCCCTTTTCCTATGACAGTTGCTTGATAAGTGTTCTGGGTGCTGTCTGTGTGCAGTGCATGGAGTTAAACTTCCTACAGGAGGACTCTGAAAATGCATCCCTTAGGAAGTTTAGCTCCATGCCCTGCACACAGCTAGCGACCCCCAAATTTGTATCTAGTAACTACTGTAGGAAGGAGGAATAACTTCACAAATGCATTCCTTTATTAACCAATGTAACCCCAATACATTTAATTTAAAAAAATAATAAAAAATAAAATAAAGTAAGCAATCAGGGGAGAAAAAACATGCACCCCTAGTAGTTTCCTGATGTTTTTCTCCCTAGGATTAAAAACCCGTACAGAGCCCTGACTGGTGTAACTCAGTGGGTTGGGTGTCATGTTCTCCCAATGGAAAGATTGCCGCCTCGGTTTCCAGCCAGGGCACATGCCTGGGCTGCGGACGAGGTCCCGGGTCTGCGGAGTGTGAGAGGCAATATTTCTCTCACACATCAATGTTTCTCTCTCTCTCTCTTTCTCCCTCCCTTCCCCTCTCTCCAAAAATAAATAAATAATTTTTTTTTTTAAAAAAAAAAACAACTTTCAGAACCTCAGAAGTAAATGGAATACCACTGGGGTTTTTACTTGAACACTTAAAACATTTCATTTTATCAGTGAATTGCCTTTCTTTAGACATGACTCAAACACCCGCTGAATCCTAAACAGTTACAAATCACTTTCAATTATTTCATGGCTTTGTAAAGATCATGAGAATGTGCCACCAACTCTATGCCTGTTTTCATTGACAGTTGATTGCATGCCACTGTTAACATTGTTGAGGAGCACATAATAAAGAACAACCTCTAAAATATATAAAATGGAACATGAATGCAGCAGGCTGAGATGGCTCATGCAATTGACAGCAAAAGAAGTGATAGTTCTGATGAAAAGATGCTTTGGAAGCCCAGGAGTGATGGTTGCAGGTGCCAGCCAAAGAGAGGGTTATTATATATAATTTTTGTTGGATTACTGATTTGCTCACTGGTCTTCGCTGATGCATTCATGAACACTGTGACACTGTCATCTTGGATGTGTCTGTGTGGGAAATGGATTTGGCACATTTGACTAATTTCTATGATGCATTTATGAAGTAACTTTTCACATTGGGCGAAGTATTAGCAAGGACATATTTTGCTCTGGCTATCTCTGTTGGTGATCAGTTCTCATTGCCACAGCAAAACCTGAAGAAATAAAACTGGAAGGATTTTTTCAGAGGTCTCTAGCATTAATACATCAAATGAGATAGGGGGAAAATGGGTATGAATATATATTAATGTAGGACTAACTTTCTTTAAAACACTTGGTGGGTTCAACTTTTAGTTTTTCAATCAAATGATTTTCCAGACTTAATTACATATGAAATTCGCATCTAGGAAACCCAACTGACAGAAAGTTTAAGGATTTGTTTTACATCGAAATAGCCAGCCAGCACTGAGGAGAAAAGCCAATTAAGAAGTCACTGTTGCTCTTACAAGCTAAAAAGCTCATATTCTCATTCTTAATCATGTCCTGCTCTAAGTAACAAAATCCACACATCTGCTTTCATCAATAAGTTGCAGACTGAAAAAAGACAATTTAACTGTGCTATGAATTAGGCAGTTTCAACCCAAAAGAATGAATAGTCTTTATGACTTGAAACTGGTTTTTAAAATATGCAAATCTTTTTAGATTTTTTATTAACATTATTTGGGTAGAGTGCTTGCCAAAATTAATCTAAATGTATATTTCAGAAGATCAAGTTCATTCTGATTATATTTTATTCATACTCGCCTCCAAAATCTTAACAAAAAAAAAATACAGCTTTTGAATGAGAAGAGTACCTAAATGATTAACTTTTAAAAAACTCCCTCACTTTTCAAATGAAGTAATCCAAAATCATCCAAACAGATTCTGCCCACCCACTGAAAGGAGAGAGAATAGCATTTCAATTTATTCTCTTCAAAATGATGTCTGAGATTTTGCTAGATGACTTCCCTTTGAATCTACCTGCTCTCACATCTTTTTATAAAACCTCAAAGCCATTTTCTCGGGACTTTCTAAGCAGAATAGTGTGTTGGCCAATGGGTTTCATTGCCAAAGCTGAATACCCATAACCTAAGCCCATCTTTCTTTGCACAGCGGGCTTAAATTTCTCTGTATTTAAACACATCTTCTAGTTCCTTTTCCTGTCTTGCTCAAATCTAAGATGTCAGCAGCCTTTATGCGTGCATTTGGGTTTAGAGGCTTGCATAAATGATGAGGGCCTCTGAGGCTGAGGAATGACACTGTTATTTTGCACCACTCTGCTTGTCACTATGCAATTGCAGTAAATGCAATTGAAAGTACTTTTATTTGAAGGCCATTTGACAGAGGGGAGAGAAAATAGATTTACTCTTTCAAGGCCTGTGTATTTTCCTGAGAGAAGCCTGCCTATAAAATGTGTCCTTTTATCCTTGGGTAGCTATTTGGGAAATATCTTTTGGCAGTGCAACCCCTGAGTGATTTCTGCAACTTAAGATGTGAGGCGTGATTTACAGGCCTGCCCTGACTCGCCCCCACCCCCTCTCCTCCTCCCTTCTAAAGACTGAAAGGCTGATTCATGCTGGTGTGCCCCATGCATTCTGTTCCACAGAACGAGGGAGAAAATTTGCATATTTTAGCAAAAATATTGCGCTATTTTCATCATAGGTGTTTAAGGAAGTTGTTGTTTACTAATATTGAAACAGCACACAAATCACGTTGAACAGCTTAAAACTGGTTTGGATGCCTTAAAGCAGATGGGGATTAATACAACCTTTCAGTTATTTTACAGAGAGAGCACTGCAAACGTGTCCACCCAGTCCTCTAGCTGCCCCCGGAACCAAAGTCTCGCCTCTCCCCACGGAACCAAAGTTTTCAGACATGACCGGAACTTGAACACCGGAACCCATTCAGAAGCTAAGCGTCCATGTCCAGGAGGATCCCTTGCAGAAGACCCTTATCATAAATGCCTGAGTCCCAAGGTCCTCCAGTGAAAAATTGCCCCATCAGCGCCTGTGCCCCAGCCCCGTAAAACCTTCCAATTATCCGCCATTGGTGAGTTTGGGCTTGAAGCAGTACAGCCCCCTGTTCTCCCTGCTTTGTGCTCTGCAAATAAAGCAATTCTCATTTTTCCACAGCAAAACTCAGCGTTCAGGGTTTGGCTCTGCTGTGTTTGTGTTTGGGGGTGGGGAAGGGGACGAAGTCTCCTCCTGCTCCCTTGCAACATCTGTGTGTCCGCGATTCGGTTGAAGTAATACAAATACAAAAGACACAGTACTGTGGATTTCTTTTAGGAGAATCTTTCGAAACACTCACGGAAATTCAACACAGGCCACTTTTATCTCCATCAGAGACATCAGCTAACTCAATACAGCTGCTGGCTTCTACAATCTTTAACAGGACTGTTCCTCACAGTACACAAGTCTTACTTTTCCGAATAAAACGAGAAGAAAAATGCAAAATAATGCTTACACTGTGCTAAACACCGCTGGGTGTCGTGCTCTTAAAAAATGTCTCAGCAAGTCACCATCTCCGAAGCCATGGCAGCCCTGAGCCTGCCACCAGACAGACGGCCGCGCTGAAGCGCTCCTTACCTATGAACAGGTTCCACTCCGTGTCCAGGTCGGCTTGATTGGCCAGGCAGCCCTTCATGACGTTGAGGCAGTAGTTGTTGCAGGGCCTCACGGCGGGGAGCCCGCGGCAGTACGGGCAGTAGAGCATCTTCATGAGGGCACGGATGCAGCCTGGAGTCGGACTGACCTGCGGGTTTATCAAAAAGAAAACAAAGTCCGAAATAAGAAGGATGGGAGGGAGAAAAGGAAGTAGTTCATTCTCTCTCTGTCTCTCTTTTTTTAAATAGATGAAATGGTTCTGGTAAACCTCCGGCAATAGAACAGAGAGTTAAAGGAACCATCAGAACCTGAACCCTTTGTGAGGCTTGATCTTGAAGCCAGTGGTTCCTGTTCAATCCTTCTGTTTGGCATAGTAACAACCAATTTTCTTGAAACGTCTCCATCAACATTTGCTGTCTATGTCACTGTAATTCAGCACCAAAACCTAGACAGTGTTTCACTGCAATAGAACGTGAAATGAGATAATGCATATGAAAGCAATTTGCGAAGTTAAAAGCCCCATAAAAATGTAGGTATTATTAAAATTTAATGTGACACCTTTAGAAAATTTTCCAAGGGGTTATTTGACCCTGTTTCTAAAGGAGGCTGCCAGATACACTTCCTCTGTACATAACTTTTTTAAAAGGATCAATATCAGCTTGTCCGGGATTTCTGATATCCAGACCTGCTTAGAAGCAATGGTGCCGCCAAGGAGCTTTGAAGCTTCGGGCCTCTGAAGCTTTGCAGTTCTGGAACTTTGTGGAAATGGATCCAGTGCTGAATGTGAGGAGTAAGCCTTGCAGTAATTCAGAGGAGGAGTTGATAATGAATCAACTGACAATGAGAATAAGGAGAGCCCCCTGCTCCTTCCTGTGCTGATTCACTGCAAACCAATGAGGCCTTTTTTAGGCTCATTGAAAATTCCGATTTGACTTCAAGTGGAAAGAATACTTAAAAGAGTGTGGACCCCCAACAACATCAACCAAATACTGAAAGCTCTTTTTCATAGATTATACACAAACATTATTGTCAGATTTATTTGGTTGGCTCCATACAGTTTCGGTATGGAAGTGAGGCAAGTACATGCTGCTCTTCTGGTGCAAGTACATGCATGCTCTTCTGGTGCATGTCTGGGCCCACAGGTGACATTTACATGTCTGCACACTCAGATACTGACAAAGCACAACTCCTCTGCAAAGGCAGGGCAATAAAAGGTATTTCTATGGTAAGTGGAAACTTTTGACAGCCATCGCTAATCTCTGCCACCTTATCCTTTACCTTGAAACCTCATGTGAAGTTCTTAATACAAGGCTTTGGTTTTTATAACGTTTTTTTCAACTTTTATGTTGTGTACTGACAAAGTCACTAGTACATTATTTCAGGAAGCATTTATTTATTTAGGTACTGAAAGTTCCAATTATCTTTTTTATTTGTTTGCTTGTTTTATGCTTTCCCCCAAATTTTATGAAAGTTTTCTAACATACAGAAAAGTTCAAAGGTTTTCATAGTGAACACCCATATTCCCACTCCTAGATTCTACATTTGATATTTTCTTACACTTGCTTTTTTATACATCTATCCATCCTTCTATCCATCCCTTAATCCATCTCATTCTTGACTCATTTCATAGTAATATCCTTTCTGATTTTTACTTTTCCTGGTAATTTAATGTTGGCTTTAATAAAGTAGAATGAACATGATTTATGATAGAGAGTGCGTTAGGTACTTCAAATCAAGTAAGTGAAGTAAACTATAATTGGTCTTCTTTCATAAAAATATTTAGAGAATGATTTAATACCATTAATTCTAAAATCAATTTTCCAACAGTAAAAAAAAAAGGGAGAATAAAAGTGAGGACTCTAGCAACTTCCCTTTTGAATATCCATCTGTGCCACCATTGGCATCTTCTCCAGATACACTGTTTTGTTGAAAATGCCAAATCTTATCCAAAATTGAGTACTAGTTTTTAAAAATTTTCTTTTATTTACATCTATTTGAAGCCAGTTACAGGGATAGAGAAAATATTCTGTATTCTCAATGTAGAACCAATGTGGAATTTTGAATACTTACACATTTTACTTATTTGGCATGGTTTTGGTCCTACAAAGCTTTGTCCACAGGATTTTGTTTTCCACAGCCTTCCAATTTCTCTCTAGACCCTGAAGCCTTTCTCCAGAGGCCTACCCTTTTTCATGAGCTGGCTAAGTAATTTCTTCTGTTAACTCTTTTAGATTTTCTGATTTCCTTGCCATTGGTATTATATAATGCTTTCCTTCTTCTCACTCAGTGTCCTAGTTAAACCTGGGGCAGTTGTCAAAATTGGGGGTGCAAATCTGAGATCTCTTGGACAGTGTGGACTCCTTTTCATCATTATACCCTATACCACTCTGTAAAACATGCACATCACTATAAATTATTTTGATTATGATTTAGGTGCTCAATATGTACTTTTTAAATTGGACTCTCTAATTGTGCTTCCCAACTTCTTGGCCACATTGATATTGATGGGGAAAAGAAAGAAGCAGATAGTTGTATACAACTCACATGCAATTGTTGTTACTTTTAAACTTTGTTTTTAAAGGTTATTTATTGCATTAATTCCAAAGCTTTGCTTTTTTACTTTTATTTATTTTTTATTGTATTGGAACAAGTATGATTTTTTCAGTCTGACATTTAAGAAGAGTCTCCAATCAGGGTGGCAACCAACAGAGAAAATTGAACAGACTTAATAACCTAAAAGAACAATGCTGTTCAAGTTAAATGTGGCTCTCTCAGCACTTTTGGAAATGACATCCTTCCTGGTCAAGTAAAGGGTGTTTGAAGAAGAAAATGGAGAGTGGAGGAGGATCAAAGTTGAAGCTTTCATGTTCACAGACCATATTTTTTGAATTGACACAACTGCATGCTTGGATTAAAATTTAAAAAAAATCATCACTTCAAACTGAAGACTTTTAGAAGTAAGTCTCTGAAAAGAAGGTTGTTTAAATGCCAGTTCTGTGAAAGGATAGTTCTCTTTTTAAATGTTTAATAGCACTTTAAAATTGTGTTATACCTACTTGAAAAAGAAATCTTTTTATTTTGAAATCGATATAGACTCACAAGAAGTTGCAAAAATAGTGGAGTCCTGGATGCCCTTCACTCACTTCCCCTCGATGGCAACATCTCATGTAGGTATAGTACAACATCACAAGGAGGCACTTGACATTGGTACATTGCTGCTCACTACTATAGGCCATAGACCTCATTCTGTTCTCATGATTTTTTTCTCCTTGAATTCCTTTGTGAGTATGTGTGTGTGGTTGTATGCACGTACACTTCTATGCAATTTTATCCCGTGTACAGGCTTTCATAATTCTTCCACAATCAAAATACCACCTTTTTCCATCATTAGAAAAGGACCTTCTTAAGCTACCTACCCCCCACTCCTTGTTCTGTCACCTGGCAGTCTGTTGCCACTGATCTCTTTTTCATCTTTATGATTTTGTCCTTTTCAAGAATGTTATTTAAATGGAATCATGTAGTATGGGATCTTTTTAGCTTCACTTTTGAAAACTGAGCATAAAACCCTTGTCAATGTCCATCCCAGTTGCGTGGATTAATAGTTCATTCCTTTTTATTGCTGAATAGTATTCCATGGTTTGGATGTAGCAGAATTTGCTTGACTATTCGTTCTTCGCTATTAGGAATAGTACTTTGCTATTAGGAATAAAACTTCTACAACCTTTCACGCACAAGTTCTTGCATAAATATAAGTCTTCATTTCTCTGGGATACAAGCTCAGGAGTGTACTTGATGAGGCAAATGGTTAGTGCATGTATAGTTCTGTAAGAAACTGCCAAACTACTTTCAAGATGATTGCTAACATTTTACATTTCCACCTGCAATGTGTGAGAGACCCAGTTTTCCCCACATCATTGCTGGTATTTGATCTTATCACTGTATTTTTTTAAAATTTTAGTTGTTTCAATAGGTGTGTTATCTCCTTTTAAATTTATGGTGAGTTTTCTCTGAATGATATCCATACCTGTATTCTAGCCTCATCGAGTTCTAACAAATATCAGATGCACAGCATTAACCAGCTGATCTCTGGAAAATACACAATACTAAAAAAATTAACAATTCTGAAATAGTAGATGAATCTGTATATTTGGCAAAACCAAGAAAAGAGTTCTGAAAGCTCAAATTTAAAATTGAGAATAGGTTACTTCTCAAGCACATATTGCCACAAATTTGTATATTTGGTGAAATATTAAAATTTTTTTCTACTGAAGAATATTGTGTTCATTTAGCAACAATAAAGAATACAATCTATCTTGAGAAAGACAATGTTGAATTGTTTTTTAAAGTTGGCGATATGGAAGAAGTGAGTGGATCAGCTAAAGAACATGCATGCACGGCCCATGGACACGGGCAATGGTGTGGTATGTTGATGGCATGGGGGTGGGGGGACAGGGGCGGGGTGCAGGTGGGCGGAGGGTCAATTGTAACAGCATAAACAATAAATAAGAAAGAAAAAAGAAACAGAAATAAAATGTAGCTGTAGCTTCCCAGATATTCAAAGCATATTGGGAAATAAACAAGTGAAAGGACAAGTTGAGATGTTTATGAGAGTGGTACTAGTTTGGTTTTAAGAAAACAGTTTCTTTAAGTAAAAAAAATAATAAGTTGTGATTGATAATCTTTTTGTACTTGTTTGTGCTCTCATATAACTTTTACATTTTGTTCTTCACCAGTAGTAATCTTTTGTCAGAACTCATAGCATTACAGGGAAATAAGAAAATAGTCAATGGTTCCTACTGGATTTAGTTCTGTTAACTTCTCTTGATACTGTTTGTATCTAATAAATGACTTATAAATGATCATTTTTATAGTAGATATTATAGCTGACTAATTTTGAGAAATACTAATAGAATTTGAGAAATAATAATATAATTTACAACTAAGGCTCCTTGTAAAATAATTGAAAAGTAAATAAAATAACATAATACTTGAACTCAAAGTTTGTAACCTTGTAAGTTTTTTACTGTTACTTGTATTTCTTTTTCAAAAGGCTAAAGCAAGATACATTGAAACATGGCAAGGAATACAAAAAGAGCCCTTAACATAGCTGTGCTGGGAGAGAGCACTGAGACTTACCTACCCAGCCAG